CAGGTGACGGGAGGCCCTGGGTGGTGGTCCTGATGATGCAGGGGCCCAGAGGGACCTGCAGAGGCCAGGCTGGGTTAGGGTCTGTGGTGGAATGGAGAAACGGGGAGATGCAACGGATCCCAAAGTGGTTGCGGGCCCCAGCCTTCTTAGGCAAGGGCCGCTCTCTGCCCTCACGGTTCTCCAGAGCTGCCTAGCCTGGCTCTCAGGACAACTCGCTCACTTGTGGGGAGGTCTGCCGGCGGGCAGAGACAGGCAGCACACTACAAAGGTGGCTTAGCGAGGTCTCCCCTGAGAGTGGTATCTGGACCCCACTCAGGTGAGATGGACAGTCAGAGGAGGGAGATGGTGGGCAGGCGGTTGGGCCCAGGACACAGGCTCTGTGAGTGACCGCAGGGAGGCTGGGGCTGTAGCAGCCCTCCAGGAGCACGGCTGCCCCTCACTTTTCAGAAGTAGCTACCGGGCAGTGTTGTCTGCCGTGGATTCAGGAAGAGGCTGGGAGGGGGGGCGGGGCCCACAATCATCCTAGCAGGACCCGGAGGTGGGCAAGTGGGAGAGGGGGGCAGAGTGAGGACATCAAGGAAGAAGAGCACAGAGAGAGAAAGCATCAGGACAGGTGTGCTTGTCGGGACCCCAGGAGGTCCCCAGGGGGTGGGGAGAGGGGCTCGGCCGACAATCAGCCCACCTCTGGGTGCCCCCCACTGCACTCCATCCTCCTTGGCCAGGCCCATGAGATACTCTCCTGACAGGAGCCAATGCCGGCATGTTCCTGAGCTCCCCTGCCCCACGGCCCCACCCCGACAGTCACGGCTACAGAAGGTTTAGGTTTGGTTCTGGGGTGAGCGTCCGATTCACAGGGTCACGAGCAGAAACCACGCAGACCCACGCTCCGTGGGCTAGAACCACAGGCTGCCTGCAGAGTCACCTGGGGTTCCAGGCCACACCAACACGCCACCAGAGCCTCCTTTGTCGTGTGGGGTCAGGTGCGCGCTGGACCCCGAAACCAGCCTGGCTCTTCACTGAGGAGAGCTGGGGGACCAGCTGCAGCCCCTGGGCCCTCCATGCCCTGCCGAGAGCAGGGCCACCCCTGGTCCCTTTCTGCCCATCGGGGACGAAGAGGAGGTGTCTGGGGGTGTGAATGGAAGTTTGCTGGGTAAGAGAAAACACAACTGCTAGTTCCCGCTGCCCACACATCTCAAGGGCTGGTCTTGGCCCTGCTGAAACCCCACTGGTGGCCAGGCTGCAGGAGCGGCTGCAGTGGCTGCAGCTGAGCCCTGGGTGTGTTTACTCCCCGCCCACTGCGCCCTCAGCCTCATTCTCTGAGCCTGCACCCCTGGGGACCCCTTGTCCTGCTAGTCTAGGCTTGGTCACTACTGGATGATGTCTGTCAGGGGCTGAGGTCACCAGGACGCAGTTCAAGGGTCACCTCCCAAGCTGGTTCATGGGGCCCCAGGCCACCCCAAAGTGGCTCTATGTAGTGCTCCCCTTCTGCCCTCTGGGGACGAGTGCCATGGGAGGAAATGGTAGGGACCTGCCACACACAGTGATGATGGCAGTCCTATGGCTCCTGCCCTGGGATGCCTTAATGAGAGCTTCCTACCCCACCCCAAAGCCAGCAGCTTCTAGGCCAGGAGCAGAGAATAGGGGTGGACGCAGTACATGCCCAGGGCCAGGCCTCTCCCACGTGGCTTAGAGCAGCACCCTGCATGAGAGCCGTGCTGATGGAGGGAAGGCACTCGTCCGCCCGGTCCAATGAGGCAGCTGCTAGTCACACGTGGCTAGTGCGTGGCTGAAACGTGGCTCGTGTGACCGAGGAACTGAATTCCTGGCTTTGCATCTGCACATAAGCAGCCACAGTGGGTGCCTTGCTGGCGGGGCTGCGCCCCAAAGAGGGGGCGAAGTGTGACTATCGAGAACTGGACTGCCCAGAGTCCCTGCTAGTGGTGACCCCCTCAAGCATGGTCCCCGGCCTCTCTGGGCCTCGGGGTTCCCATCTGTACATGGGGACAGACTCATGGAGGCACCAGGGCTGGCCCCTCCTGTGAGGACAGCTCTCTGTCAGTGTGCAGTGCCCACGGCCACCCTAAAGCAGCCACCTGGGAGGAGAGCTTCCCGAGGGAGGCCAAGGAGCCACGCCAAGACGGGGAGACTGCCTCAGCTCCAGAGGGCATGCATGGGGCAGAGCCCCCCCACACCCGCATCTTGCCCTCCCATACCTGCCCATGCCGCCCCATCCACACCTCACGGGGGTGCATGGACTTGCGACCCCATGACCTGCCATGGTGACTTATGTGGGAACTGGGGCAAAAGTGCAGCTGGCTGAGAAATCTGTGCCACGCGGGACAGGGCGCTTGGAGTCTGGGCGCCGTGTGACTGTCCCTCCACACCTTCCCTTGAGGGGCTTGGTCTAAGAAACCTCCTCTGCTCATTTACTCCTCCCACCAGAGACCCCCTTCCAGCCACAGCACTCTTGCTCCCTTTGCTTCCTGGCTCCCCCGGCCCGAGGGTCCAGACCTCCGAATCTAGGCGCGAGGACCAGCCGGGAGGGGACGCCTCTCTCAGCAGAGAACCACAGAGGACCCAACTCTGCTCCCAGCTCCTCCTCCAGGAGCCTCGGGGGTCCCGGCCCCCAGCCCCCCAGTGTGTGCTCCTCTGGCTCCAAGTCTGGAAAGGGGCACAGCCAACCCCCCTGGGCCCTGCCCTACAGATCACACTCCCTGGCTGCTCCCAGGAGGGGTCTCAGGCTGGCAGCTCCATCGGAGCCGGAGCAGACGGGAGTGAGTGGGCATCACCGCGGCTCTGCCTCCAGCACCACCACCTGAGCTGGACAGCACACAACACAACACAACACAACAGCAAGAGCAGAAGGGAGGAGAGGAAGGAGCGCAGGAGGAGAGGCCGAGACGTCAGACAGTGGGCATGTGGGACAGGGGATGGGAGGCGGAGGGCAGGGAGGAAGCCAGCCTCCCAGAGTGGGCTGGGTGAGAAGGAACCGGCGCAGGAAGTAGGGCGTGAGCAGGGAGGCTCCCTCCGTGTTTTCCCTTGCTTTGAAAGCTGCCACTCTCAAAATGCCCAGTGCCCAAGACCCCTACCGGTCAGAGACTCTGAGCCTTTGTCCCTGACTGCAGCTGAGGGGTGCGGAAAGGGAGTGAGTAGAGACTGATTTGGGGGGTGGACGTGTGTACTAGCTGCATCCTGCCTGGGCACCTCCCTCCCACTCCTGCCTGAAGGTCCCAGAACCCCTGGGACCAGAGCTGCTCACCTGGGAACTGGTAGCCATAGCTGGGAGCAAATCCAGGGTAGCCGCGGCCGTAGGTCGCCACGAAGTTGGGGTAGCCTTGAAGAGAAAGGAGAGAGAATGGTTGTCAGCACAATCTGCTCAGGTCTGGGTGACCTCCCAGGGAGGCCGGGGCTGGGGAGCCACCGCGCCACTTTCCGACCACAAAATTGACTTGTCTCCATGTGGGTCTCTACACGGGACCGAGGTTGCCTTCCTCTTGGGGCCTGGGCCCCTGCTGTCAGCTGGCTGGAGATTAACCCACACTTGGGCAGCTGGATCCCAGAGACCACCCACCTTCTTGAACCCACAGAGCAAATGCCACAGGTTAGCAGCGCGGAACCCTGGGCGGGCGGCTGACGTTGAGATTTGGAGAGCATAGACTGAATGTATTTTACCTTGAAGCTGGGGACAGTAGGAGATTGTCATGCCTCCCCCGAGGGAACAGCAACGGCCCTCTTCCCTCTCCAGGAGCCTGGCAGACAGAGCTGGCCCAGAACCTGAGCTTGGCCACTGGGCGCCTTGCTGCTCAGGCGGGAGAGGGGGTGGGGATGGATGATGGGGGCGGTTCCCAATTCATGTGACAGCGGAGTCCAGCAAACGGAGCCGTGGTCCTGACCTGGGCCCTGAACTGTGGCTGTGAACACCCAGCTCCTCTGGTTCCTGTCTGGTTTTTGACGTCTTGTCAATTCTACGTATTGCCCAAGGCCTTCCCATAATCTACTGGCTAGGTAGTGAACCCTCAAACCAAACTATCTCATAGTGACCCTATATGGCCTTTCTGAGGCTATAAATTTTCTTTTTCTTTCTTTTTTTAAGGCTATATGTTTTCATGGGGGCACACAGCCTCATCTTTCTCCCATGGAGCAGTTGATGGGTTTGAACTGCAGACGTTGAGGTTGGCAGGCCTCCTTGCGTAACTGGTAAACTCGCTCTGCCATCGGGTCAATGCTGACTCACAGTGAACCCAATGCTGACTCACAGTGACCGTAACTGTTTACGGGAGTAGAAAGACTAGTCTTTCTCCCAAGGAGCTGCTGGTGGGTTCGAACTGCTGACCATGAGGGTCTCAGCCCAATGTGGAACCACTACGCCCCTCTACCACCAGAAGAACAGAAGTTGGCGCTGTTTCTGTTGATGGCCACCAGGGGCGCTGGTAGGAGGCCTCTTGGATGGGTTGACTTAGGAGTCTCCATGCCGTCCAGGACTCCTAGCCTGTGGGTTTGCAAGGACCCCCTTCCTCCTTCCCCACGGGCCTCTAGAGGTTGGTGTGGTGGTCAGCACTGACTCGCGCTGACTCACAGGTTCCCCACGTGCACAGAATGAAACACTGTGGAGCCCCGCACCTTCTTCACAAAAGACTCACGTCAACTGTCACCACTGTGGATTCTGAGTGCTTTGTCCCAGTGCCAGACGGCACTCTGTGATCCCCCAGGGCTTTCAAAGGCTAATTTTTAGAGTAGACTGCCAGACTCCTCTTCCGGCCTGTCTTGGTCTGGAAGCTCTGCCGAGACTGGACCACCACGGCATCACCGCTGGTATTTGGAAGACAATGGCATAGCTTCTGGTCTCGCGCCAACATGTTTGCCACCACAACAAACTGACAGACAGAGGTGGGGTTCCAGCCCTCCCTAAACATGCCCCTAACACAAGCCCTTGGGCTGTCATGGTCTTCCTGTCCAGAGGACCCTCACCCCTTTCCAGACATCTCGGGAGCCGGCAATGAGGGCCCAGGAATAGGCCCAATCCTAAATCCTATTTGGAGCATGTTCGGTAAGCGGGAGTTATCTGTCCAGAGTTCCCAAGCTTTAGACGCCCAGGGACGGACCCCTTCCCTCACCTCCCTGCTGCTGGGGTTGTGTTCCTGCTGCCAGACTTGGACTGGACATTGTGCCAACCGGCCCGAGGCCCCAGGATATGTCTGAGGCCTGCTCTCCTCTCCCTGGGCCTGAGTCCCATCCCGAGGGAAAGCCCCGAGAGACCTTGAAGCGGTGAGACCAGCTGTGGCGTCTTCTCCTGGCTCCAGTCATGGGATCGACTGGCCACCTTGTGTGTGCCCCAGTAGGACTGCACCCCCTAGGGTTTCTGATGGCTGGTTTCTCGGGAGGAGATCACCAGGCCTTTCCTCTGAGGCATCCACAAGTGCACTCCAAATGCCAACCTTTCCCTGTGCTGCTGAGCCACCCACGACTACCCAAATGTCCTGTCTCCTCACACTTGCTCTCACCAGCCCTCACCTGCCCGGCTCCTCTGGGGCTCATTTTCTGGTTCACAGGTGCCTCCGGCAGGACAGCCTGGCTTGGCCTTTGCCCACTAGGTATAAACTGAGGGGCAGAAGCAGAGCTTCTGGGAGGGGAGGGTCCAACGGATCTGCACGCTGGCCGGCACCTTCCTTAGCTTGACCTCGTGGGCGGGCAGCTGAGGCTCCATCATCCGCCGCCACACCAGAGCTTCCTCACCCAACAATCGAGCGAAGCACGTCACACGCACACAGCCCCACAGCCGCTGCCCGGGGAGACTTCTGGAAGCACGGGAGGGTCTTCAATATCACAGAGTCAACCTGACCGCTGCAGGCCATGCCCCGGCGTCACCCCAAGGGGCCCCCCGACACTGGGACGCCAGGCCCGGAGGGCCTCTGCTTTCTCTGTCCTCTCTGAGAAGGGTGAAGAGAGAGAGCTACACCCCCGGCCTTCCGGATGTGCCCTTACTGTCTCCTGCACACCCAAGGTGAGGATTTGGCCTCGGTGGGGTGGGGGTGGGGCTCATCGTCCCCCCCACCGCTACCCATCCCCTGGGTCAGGCAGATGAAATCATAAATTTATAATACAACATGACTTCAATTTTCCTCTTCATTTAGTGGTGAAGCCCAGCTCTGCTCCGGCGGCTCTCAGCCCAGCCACACTGGGGACGCTGGCTGACTGCTTATCAACAGCCCTGGCATCAGACCCGGGCGGACGCCCCATCAAGACATATTACGGTGGGCTGACCTCGCCCCGCTTCCATTAGCCGCCGGGCCCCTCCTGTGCTGGCCATTGCACAATCTATCTGCTCCAGTACTCTGGACGCCTGATCAATCCCACAGTAATTATCTCTTGTCACCAAGGCGCACACGCAGACCTTCTGCCTGAATAACCACCCTCCTTGTAGATCAGCTTTTCAGCCCGGGCACACAAGTCGGATCCACAAAAGAATCTGGCTCTGCCAGCCGGCTCACCGCAGGGCCCATTTGGGGCAGGTTGGCAGGGACCTCCGACCTGTGGTTCTTGAACTTGGCCCCCAGCCCTCCACGACGACTTTGCCTTCTAGACGGGTACCGGACGCATCATCTCCCAGGCCTTCTTTTCAGCTACCTACACCAGGCGACAGACTTGACAACCATGGGAGCTGGGGGTGGGGTGTCGACTGCCAACTGCGGAGTAGCACCCACGGCGAGGGAAGCATGGAGACCAGTTGCCGGCAGCACCCACTTGCCGTGACCCCCTTCCCAGCAAGCACACACAGACCCTCCTCTGCAGAGACGCTTGGCCCTCAGGGCTGTCCCGAGTCACCCGGGCTCTAACTCCTGAGCCACCAGCCACAGGTGGCGGCCAGCTGAGGGTCCTTAGGCTTTACCCGGCACGGGGGTGTTCCTAACTGTTAGAGCGCTGTACGACGTTCGTTACAGGACTTGGGCTAAGCTAACCACCTCCCCTGCTTTTTAAAAACAGCTTCTTTAGTTCTGTGGGTTTCTTCTTCCGGGTCAGTTTGAGAACCACTTGGCCAATTTTCTGAGGAACTAAAAATGGGACTTTTCACCAGCGATGGTGTTAAACCCAAAATAACAACAACAACAAGCTGAGGAAAACTAACACCGCAATCATTTTCCAAGCGGTCCCCTGGCCTCCCTCTCTTTTTCCTCTCCATTTCTTATCCATTTCTTAAAGTTCTCCCAAATGACCTTATACCCGCCCGTTATTTCCTCAGACAAGTAGGTAACATTCGTCTTTCAAGACCAAGAAAAGCGTTATAAATTTTAAAACTAAGCCTGAAATGATATAAACAGCAGCCCATCTGAAAATCTATAAAGCGCTTATCAAACAATATAGAAGAGGGCTCTTCGCCATGCCAAATGAAAACCCATTAACACGAGATGTGTCGTGTGCCTGGATGGAATTTCACCATTAACTACCATTTATCCCATTTAATTAGTATTTTCCGGACACACAATAACTTGCACTAAAATACCGTTCTCATGCCTTGAAATTCCTAATTATTGTTGCGACCCACACCATTACGCTTCTCCACTGCTTTCCCCATCTTTCATGCCATTTAAGCGGCAAGATTTTCAATTATCTACGCAGGAAGGACAGAGATACCTTTAAGGAAAGGGGCATAATGTGCAACTCAATTCCTCTAAAAGCCAGGAGAGATCATTTTTAGTCAGAACAAACACACTTTGTCTTTCATCATTTTCCCCCTCCCAAATAAAGGGTAAAATAGGCTATTTAAAACATCCATTTAAATGCAAATTTTCATATCCCAAGAGAAAAATGTTAATCATTTAAATAGACAGGATTATCACCCACCCTCACCATTTCCTCTCCTCTCCCAAGTTCTAGAAAATGCAGCCTTAGCTCGCACAGCCGAAGCCGGGCCTCCTGAGGTCCTTGAGAACCCCTCTGCGCAGAGGAGAGGGCGTGGGTCCACCATCGCTTGAGTGGCCCATGGCTGTGGCAGGAGCCACCCCGGCCCACGGTGACCATGGTTGCTCAGAGGGTGTTCCGGGGTTGGATCTTTGAAAGCAGCTCACCAGGTCCTTCCTGCTGAGGCACCTCTGGGTGGACCCCAACTGCCAACCTCTCTGTTACCAGCTGGCTGCAGGGACGGTGTGCACCAGCCACAACTACATCAACCACCCAGCTGATTGTGACGTTGGTCCTGACTTGTGGACAGCCTACCTCGACTGGCCAGACTGAGCTCCACAGGGATTTCAAAGTTCTGACCTTTCAGCAGCTGGTCATCAGCACGTTCTTCCCAGTGCCTCTGGGTGGGCTGGCAACGTCAGTCTTTGCATTAGCAGCGGAGGGTCGCCGGAAGCACAGGCACCACTCGGGGTCACCCTTTTGACCAACCCTAAAAACTCCTTGCTATAGAGTCAATTCTGACTCATGGTGACCCCAGAGGGAGGGCGGAGCTGGCCCTGTGGGCTTCCGAGATTGTAACTCTTCATGGGAGTAGCAAGCCTCATCTGTGGCCCGAGGAGCGGCTGGTGGTTTCAAACTGCTGACCTTGTGGTTAGCAGCCCGACTTGTCACCACCAGGGCTCCCCTGCTCTCTTTATTAAAAGGATGGAAAGGAGAGAAGCAACTGCCCAGGCCTCCTCGCAGCTAGGCAGAAGGCAAACTGCTCACACACCACCGCAACTCATCCCCCTCACCTCCAGGTGCGAAGACCCAGACTCAGGCCTCCCCAGCCTTCTCCCACCCACAGTGACACTGCTGGGCCCCAGGTCCCACCCAGACTCACCCAGCATCCCCATGCCGAGCATGAACGCGTCCATGGTGTAGGGCAGGCCCCGGGCCCGGCCTCTTGTCCCAGGTGGGAACATGACTTCCTTCGGCTGAGCTTTCTTACATTCTACCTGTGAGACAGAAAGGCGAGCAAATGAGATGCAAATGCAGTCCAGGAAAATGTCAAATGCAGAACCGAGCTGGTTACGAGCAGAGTTATTTTTAGCCTTGCTCCCGACTCCCTGTAAAAATAGCCTTGCGAGCAAATGGCCTGCAAAATAAATATTTAAGAAAACGCGCACCACTTGGGCAAATCCTGCTTTGGAAAAACCTACAAGGATGAAATTGGGGCTGCAGGGACGTTCGCTCAAGACACACATGCATGGGGGTGAGGGTTCAGCTGGGAGCTGGCGCAGAAGGCCGCAGAGCGAAGGAGGTTAATCCTGGCTGTTTGGAGCGTCTGGGAGTGGGGGTGGCCGCAGTCATAATAGCAGTAAACCCTCATGATCGGCCTTAGACACAGTTGTTGGCTTCCCCTCCCGCCCACCCTCAGCACAATGGGCGACAGCTCGGCTGGGCCTGTGCCCCCATGATCGGCCTGGTGGGATCATTATGACCCCAGTGTTTGCATCACTGGCTGAGCTTTGGAAGCAGACTGTCAGGCCTTTCTCCCTAGTCTGTTAGACTGGATGCTCTCTGCCTGCATCTTGCCAGGCTGTGCATGGACCGCGTGGATGGGGAATTGAGCCCGAGTCTCTGGCATGGGAGGTGAATTCTATCACCAGTGCCCGGTTTGGCCCTTCAAGTGTTCACAAATTTCCTCCAGGCCACCAGACACCCCACGTCAGTTCATCTGACGGTCTGATTCAATAGGCCAGCCAGTTCGTCTTTACCGACGAGAAAACTGAAGGGTGTGGAATGGATTGAAGCCAAGGCCTATCAGGGCCAGGCCGAGAAGCCTCGTCTAAGAGGTTGCCCTGTCCACAGGGCCTGCACCCCGGAACTCTTCTGAGGCTACCGGATTCAACACGGGCTCTGTTGGTCCGGGTGGCTGGGTTCTCACTTCACAGGTACATCCTCAAGTGGCTGCTAATTTTCCCTGCTTGATTTCTGCCTCCAAAATGTCTTCACTCCTATTGCGCTCACGCGCTCAGACACTGGATGAGACGCAGAACGACCAAATTGAACCAAGCCAAACCAAAGGCTGTCCTCATGAGGACCCTGTACACTGCAGGGCAGCACTGCTCCGTAGAATTTTCTCGGCCATCTTCTTTACACAAGCTGACTGTTGACGGGTGCCATCAGGCTGGTTCTGACCCAGAGACGCCAGGCACATCAGGACGAAACCCTGCCCGGTTCTGTGCCAGCACCACAGTTGTTGTGTCTGAGCCCACGGTCGCAGCCACTGTGGGAATCCATCTTGCCCAGGGCCTTCCTCTTTTTTGCCTCCCCTCGACTTTAATGATGCCCTTTCCCAAGGACTGGTCTCTCTTCATAGCACATCCAAAACAGGAGACGAAATCCCGCCACCCTCGTTTCTAAAGAGCATCCTGGCTGTACTGCTTCCGACATCGCCTTGTTTGTTTTCCTGGAAGTCCCTGGTCCATGCATCTCCTTTGCAAGCTCCATAATCTAAACACATCAATTCCTCCCCCGTCTTCCGTATTCATGGCCCCACACGCACTCAAGGTCGCTGAAAAGACCACGGCTGAGTCAGGCATGCTTCCGTCCTTCAAGCGGCATCTTTGCCCTTGAACATTGCGAGGAGGTCTCGTGCCGCCGATGGAGCTCTTGACTGCTGCTTCGATGCGGGTTGATGGTGGATCCGAGTTAAACGCAACCCTTGACAACTCCAATCCTTTCTCCATGTATCACGCTGTGATGGTTATAAGTTCTCCCAGTTGTGAGAACTTTTGAGTTCTGTGTATTGAGTTGAGATCCCATTTTACATTGAGTGGAAGCAAATTACCAGGCATCCCCCCGGACCCTCCCCATACCACTGGGTGGGTTTGAACTCCGGCTTTGAGTGGGCTCATTCTATTTTGGCCACCTGCTGAGAAATTTGCCTTCCTACCCTAGATATCCTGAACCAGAACCCACATTTTAATGAGACCCCCCCAGGGAGATTCTTTTGTGTACACAAGTATACCTGGGGATTTGGTTACAATGTAGATTCTGAGTCCCTATGTCTCCGGTGGAAAAGCAAATTCTCAGTAGGTGGTTGGGACTAGAATGGACCGGTTCAAAGACTTGGTTGAACTGCCAACCTTCAGGCTGGTCATCCAGGGCAGAGCATTTGCACTTTCTGGGGAAGCTCTCGTGGCTGAAGGCTCCCCCTGCTTCACCAGAGGGCACCTTGACCTTGGGAAGGCCTCCCAGGTCCCTAGTTGATGGGTCAGTTTAACAAGCCTGCAGATCCAGTCACTGAGCGCACCCATGATAAAAGACAGGGTGCTGAAGGGTGGGCTGGGGTGCTTACAGCGCGTGTGCACGCGTGTGCACGCGTGTGCGCGCACACATACACTCACAAAATCAGAGTGTGGCAGCCTGCGATGGAGGAGAGACGAATCAGGTGTCTTTCTTACGGAGCAGAGTGGGCCCACAGCTGCTGCGGGTATGCTGTGCCCACCTGACACTGGCTGGCAACTAGCTTGTCAGGCACACCTGTTTCAAAGGGCACGCTGCTGGCTTACCTAGTCATTTTGGAGACACGCTTGCCCCAAAGAGTTCAATGTATAAAGCAGGTTAATGCCTAGGTTTGGGGGAAGCTTTAGTCACCTTCAAGGTTAACCCCTCCTTCCTCAAAGACGCCAGGTAACGTAGAGAATGATTACAATCACAAATGGCTCGACCTCCACTACTGATGGGCTGAACTCAGAGTTTTTACGATGATCAACCTCACACCAAGATGGGCAGAGGGCAGGAAAAGGCAACTCAGTCACTGAGGAGGGCACCTTTCACCGGCCCGCGGGGCAGGGGCAGGGCAGTCTGATGTCAGGGTTCCTGGGAGATGGGGAAGGAACAGGCACCTCTTTTACTGGAGGGCAACCTGACAAGGTATCAGAAGCTATTCATTTAAATATCCTTTGACTTAGAAATCCTACTTCGAGGAATTTAACTTGCAGTGAGCCATGGGTGAAGACCTCCATCATCCTACTTATAATTGCAACAGCAAATAAACATAGGCAATGCCCCAGGTGTACAAGAACTGGGGACTGGTTACGCCACATTTGGCTCACGCACACTGAGCAAATGTTACTCAGCTACGTAACTACAAACCACAGGTTCCCAAACTTAACTGGCCTACCACCCCCTTTTCAGAAAAAAAAAATAAATTACTCAGCGTGCCCACCCCCAGCAAGGGTAAACTTTTGCACGACGGCCTCTAATCACCCACTAGGCTATGAACTAACATGCACTGGGCTGGGAAAAGGAGCCCCTGAGGTATGTATGGTGAAGGTGCTCAGCTGCTAACCCAAAGACTGGCGGTTTGAGTGCACCCCGAGGTGCCTTGAAAGTGCTGGCGATCTACCCTAGGAAGCCCCTGTGGAACACGGCTCTAGTCTAACAGGACTCACGTAGAGCCGTTGCCAGCCAGCGGAAGCCGACTCAAGGGCCACTGGTTGGTATTGGGAAGGCTCTAGTCTGGAGGAAAACTGAAAAGTTGGCTCAATTGGCAAAAAAACAAACAAAAACAAACAAAAAGAAAAGCCAACTACAGAAAAAAACAAACAAACAAACAAAAATCCAAAGAAGGCCTAACAGTTGTCTTCGAATGGCTTTGCTTTTTAAAACATTTCCACCTTGCTCTGCGTGTCCTGCCTGTGAGCATGCTGACTTCAGGTACCGAGGGGCAGGGATTAGAAAGAACACACCCGTGGGCACTTGGCCTTGCAGCTGCCTCTCTGAAGCCAGGGGGACAACTCCGTCCTGCAGTCCTGGACCTGCGGCCCCACCCCCTGGGACTCCAAGAGCCACAGGTAAGAAAACTCATTTGCATGAACCTGCCCGGAGCGGGGGGGGAAGATGGGCGTGCTCTGCTCAGGCAGACAGATAATTATGAACGCTGACAGGGGCTCCGGGATAATGCCGCTAACCAGCTCGCTTCCTAATAGCCCTATCGGTGACACGCTGCCGCATTGTCTTCTGAAAACCTGCTGTCTGTTCCTAGGCAACCTGATCAACGGAAATTTCAGGTTTATACAATTTTCATTTAGGGAACAGAAAGGTTAACTGACTGTAATGGGAGTCTTTTAAACAAACCCACCTACTCTTCAGGGCTGGCAGCTCTTTTTAGTTCTGCTCCGGTCTTGACTGCTGGCGTGTTGGGCAGCACCAATCTTGTGGCTTCTGTCAGCCACCCGCTGTGTCCACGTTGAGTGCTCCCAGAGGCCGGGTGCCGAGGTGCAGGGCACTCTCTGGAGACCCAGCATGCCCGGCCACTTGAATGGCAGGAAGGGGCAGCAGTCACACCAGGGAGCCTGCCCTGGCCTGCGCCGAGGGTTTCTGGAGAGAGTTCTCAAGACCAGGAGAGGCCTACACACCCAGCCCCTGGCGCCTTTAAGATTTTAGATAAAGGACAAGCCAAAAGAAAAAGAATATTGCTAGTCCCTGCCTGCGTCCTGAGTCCTAGCAGTGGGTCGAGGGCTGGCTGACGCAACCGTTCTGTCACCCATCTGACTGGCACAGGCCATGTCACCCACAGCAGATTGTGAGCTCCCGGCACCAGGGTCAGGGTCAACCTCTACTTTCCCAGGCCCGGAGTGGGGCCCACTGGGGCCCAAGAGTCTACACCTACTTCATTCTACCACATGAGGCTGAGTTGGTGCCAGGCTAACGGCGCACCCAGACGAGTAAGGCGTGCCTCCACTTCTGCGAGCTCTTGCTCCACTGGAAGGGCTCAAGCTCACCCTGCCTCATTTCTTCTGGGCCTGCAGTTGGTTCGTCCACATTTGGGTCAACCTCCTCTGCCAGTCTCCCACAATCCTGTGCAAACCAGGACCAACCCAGGCTGGGCGTGGCCAACCAGAGATGGAGTCAGAACCAAGGCAGGTAAAACCAGCCGTCTCCCCAGCTCCACCTGTGTGGCTGGACACAACATTCCAGCTAAGGGCTGCAGTATGCACTAAAC